CTTTTTCCTAGTCAAGCCCCTTATTTGACAGATAGGGAAACTGAGGCCCCAAAAGGTTTACCCCTTCTTTTTAATGTAGTACTGTTAAGTCCTAGCCAAGGCAATTAGGCAAGAGAAAGAAACGAAAGTCATCCTGAAAGGAAAGAAAGAAATGTAACTATCTATACTGATGTTATCATCATATATTTAGAAAACCCTAAAGATTTACCAAAAAATTTTTTAAAACCCTGTTATAATTAATTCCGTAGAGTTGCAGAATAGAAAAAAATATTTTTAAGCCATATGTCAGATAAGGGGTAAATATCCAAGGTTTATAAAGAACTTATATAACTCAATAGAAGAAGATATATAACACAATAAAAAGTGAGCAAAGAATGTGAGTAGATATTTTTCCAAATATGTGAAAATTTCCAACAGGTACAAGGAAAGGTGTTCATCATCACCAAACATCACTGAAATGCAAATCAGAATCACTGTGAGATACCATCTCACACCTGTCAGGGCAGCTGTTAACAAAAAGATAAGACATCGTAAGTTAGCAAGGATGTGGAGAAAAGGGATGTCTTGTATACTGTTGATGGGAATATTGGTGCAGCCATTATGGAAAACAGCATGGAGGTCCCTAGATAAATAAACAGTAGAGCTACTGTATGGTCCAGTAATCCCTCTTCTAGTTTTATACTCAAAGAAAATGAAATAGCTACCTTGTAAATATATCTGCACTTCCATGCCTGTTTATTTTTGTATTCCATATGGATTTAAGGATTGCTTTGTCTCTTTCTATGATGAATGACATTGAGATTTCCATAGTGATTACATTCAGTTTGTTGCATTAGGTAGTTTGGACATTTTAGCAATATTAATTCTTCTGGTTCATGAGCATGGTATATCTTCAATTTCTTTCAAAAATGTCTTGTAGTTTTCAGTGCACAGATTTTTCACTTCTTCAGGTAAATTTACTTCTAAGTATTTTTTAAGACTACCATAAATGGGATTGTTTTCTTATTTCTTACTTGTCTGCATCATTATTTGTATATAGAATTGCTACTGATTTTTGTTTGTTAATTTTATACTCTGCAATGTTATTGAAGACATTTGTTAGATTTAATAGTGTTCTTGCAGTTTTTGGGGTATTCTATGTATTAGATCTTGTCATCTGAAAATGGTGATAATTTTGCTTCTTCCTTTCATAGTTTGATAACTTTTATTCTTTTCCTTGTCTAATTGGTCTTGATAGTATTTCCAGTGCTATGTTGAATAAAAGTGGCAAGAGCAGATATCCTTGCCTTGTACTATATCTTAGTAGAAAAACTTTCAGTTTCTACCCATTTCAGTCTGTTAATATGATGTAACATGCTGGTTAATTCGCATAAGTTAAATCAGTCTTCTGTATTAGGGTAAATCTCAGTTGATCATAATGTATAATATTTTTATGTATTGTGGCATTTAATATATTAGTATTTTATTGACAATTTTCACAACAATATTCATTAGAGATATTGGCCTATAGTTTTCTCTGTTTTTTTTTAAAAAAGATTTATTTATTTGAAAGGAGAGTGACAAAGAGAAAGAGAGGAAGAGCCTTCATCTACTGGTTTACTCCACAAAAGGCCCCAGTGGCTGGGACTGGTCTGGGCTG